GAGAGAGAGAGAGAGAGAGAGAGAGAGAGAGAGAGAGAGAGAGAGAAAAGGAAGGAAGGAGGGACGGAGAAAGAGAGAGGAAGGGAAGGAGAAAGACAAAGAGAGAGAGAGGGAGGGAGGGAGGGAGGGACAGAGGCAGGGAGGGACAGAGAGGGGAGAGAGAGAGAGGAGAGAGAGAGTGTGTGTGGATGTGTGTGAAGTTACAGGAAGTCCTTTCTTAGAACCTTAGTTAAGCTGGGCATAGCGGCTCATGCTTGCCACCTCTGAACTCTGAATGCTTAGGAAGGAAGATCTCTGTGAGTTTGAAGCCGCTCTGGTCTACACACGAAGCTCCAGGCCAGAAAGGGCTACTTAGTGCTTAGAAAAGAAAAAGAAAAAAAGAGAGACCTTATCTCGTAACCAAAAATTAATGAAGTAAGAAATGGGCTATACAACTCACTCAGCAGCACAATGCTTGCTCAGCACATTCAGGCCCCTTCAGTGCCCAAAACTTCAACCCTAAACCACAGAAAAGATAACACACCCCACATCCAGCTTCTCAGATCCCTGTTCTGACCCAGGGAGACTAAGAAGTCTGCGCTTTAGTGCTCTTTATTTATTTATTTATTTATTTATTTATCTATCTATCTATCTATCTATTTATTTATTTATTTAGACTGTTTCTCTGTGTAGACCTGACTGTCCTGGAACTTGGTCTATAAACCAGGCTGGCCTTGAACTCAGGTTCCTCTGCCTACCTCCTGGTGTGCTGGGATTAAAGGTATGAGCTACTACTAATAGCAGGTCAGGTACTGTCTCTTTTCAAGATTTCAAGATCACTCTTAGAAAGGGATTCTGAAGTGTGCTAACATCTGAAGCAATTGCTGGGGCCAAAGTCAAAGATACCGTGGGGTGGACAGGGCTAAAGAGATCCTCAGATGCTTTCCACCAAGCTTGAGGACCTGAGTTTTATACCCAGAACCCGCATGGCGGAAGGAGAAAATCACTTTACAAATTTGTTCCCTGAGCTCATACACATCTACACACACAGGCACAAGTGCACATGCGTGCACGTGCACACAGACACAGAGGCACATGTGCACACAATATTAATAATTTTTTTTAAAAAAGAAAGTAAGTAAAATAGGATTTAGAGAAATAATTCAGCGGTTAAAAGCCCTGCCTGCTCTTTCTGAGGATCTGGGTTCGATTCCCAGCACCCACAAGGTGGTTCACAACCAGCCATAAATCCATAGTGTGAGATTCAACGCCCTCTTCTGGCCCCGGATCGGGCACTGCACGCATGTGGCACACTGAAGAACTTGAAGGCAAAGCGTTTGCCCATACACTTAAAAAATAAAGGTTAAAGTAAATTGAAAGCTGAAGCAGTAGTCTACTGACACGGAACACTGTAGGGTCAGACATTTGGTAGGTACTCAACAAATGTTAACTGTTGGAAAACTTCCAGACTGAACTTGGGTTTCGCTCACCTGGCCTCCAGACGCACCAGCTCTCCGCAGCTTCTCCACCTCCTGCCTGAGATTGTCCCTCTCCATCCGCAGCTCCTCGGCCACCAGGCTACTCTCGTTCACCAGTGCTTCCAGCATCTCCATCACACGCACGATCTTGAATTGCAGCCGGGTGACGCGGGGGTCGCTGCCCAGGGCCATCAGCTCGCGGCCGACCACATAGGAAATGTCGTACACGTCGTCGGTGGTCAGCTGCAGGGGGCTCTTGGCCAGGGCGCCTTCGTCGTCCTCCCCGTCCTCCTCCTCGCGCACAGGAGGCTCCTCCATGGCGCCCTCGACTCTGGCGACCTCCGGGGCGGCTGTCACCTACGCGTCCACTAGCTCTGGGCCGAGGCCACGTCGCGCTCAGGCTCGGTGGCCTTGGAAGAATGCGCCGAGTCGTGGGAAGCACCAAACCACCGAAAACCGCGCGCAGCTGCACAGCCGTGCGCCTGATGAAGAACACGGAGAAGGGACCGTGGGAAGTGCAGCGAGAACGGGGCACGAACGAAGCAGCACGAGCTGACCACAGGCCTGGTAGCCCGCGGGGGAGGAGCCACACGAAGCTCCGCCCTTGGTGACGGGTGCGTGGAAGCCTGGTTTCCATGGAGACGGGGCGGACTTTCCAGGGTGGTAACGGAAAGAGGGTTTAAAAAAAAAAAGTTCACAACTTTTTCACTTTGCAAACTGGAGCTTTCCAGCTATCGAATTTGCATGTCCGGGGAGGGGAAATCCTGGTCTCTATTGAAGTTTTTTTTTTTTTGTTTTTTTAATTGCGTAGTAAAAACAGTAGGCAGCGGCAGCGGTAGGGCTGGGAAGCCGAGCAGTTGGTGGAGTAAGGCAGCTAACTATCTTGTTGGCTACCCAGTCCTATCTCAGTACCTGTGAGCAAGAAAATGCAGAGAGCGCCCTATACCCTGAACGAACCTTGCGAAACGGGCTGCTAAAGGGAAAGAAGCCGGCAGAAACAGCTACAATACACATTTCTAGGAAATGCTCACAATCGAGGAGTTCCCAGACAGGGAAGGGAGGTCAGCTTCCTGTTATTAAAATGAAGTAAAAGAAAAGACAGGAGCAGCACTCGGTCTGCTTCAGACGCTGACACACAGCTCACACAGCGCCATTCAGTGAGATCGGTTCAAAGAAAGGGGCTTCGTGCTGACATCAGACCTTGAGATGGGAGGGAGAGCATTACTAGAGAGCAACAATACAGTCTGTTCTAAACATGGTCCTGCCTTAAAGGTAAGCCTCTCTTTCCCGTTAAAGCTTAGGAGCTTCCTCAATTGTGAAATGAGCGGTGGTGGTGCATGCTATTGTGAGTTCGAGGCCAGCCTGGTTTATAAAGTTCCAGGACAGCAGGGCTACACAGAGAAACCCTTTCTTGAAAAAACAAAACCCAACCAGCCAAATAAAACAAGATCAAAATACCCAAGTGTGCTCCATTGAGAACTGATACCTTTGATATCAAAACCAAAGATTTGGCTGGTATGGTGGTACATACCTTTTACCCCAGCACTCAGGAGACTGAGGCAAGCAGTGGACTGCTTGGCTTTACAGGGTGCTTCAAGCCAGGGCTCCATAGTGAAACCCTGCCTCCAAAGAGAGATGGCTCAGCAGTTAAGAGCACTGATGGCTCTTCTAGAGGACCAGGTTTGAGTCCCAGCACCCGCACCATGTGTAACTCCAGTTCCTAATGACCTCTTGCCTTTTCCTGACTGCCTTCAGCACCAGGCATGCACACAGTGCACATAACACACATCGCAGGCAACATGCGATAAAACATAAAATAAAATGATATTTTTTTTTTAAAAAAGGACAGGAGCTCTTGTTTTTGTGTGGTGTAGGTCAGGTTAGCTAGCCAGCAAGCTTTAGCAGATTCTCTTGTGTGCCTCCTGTCCCTCTACAGGGGAATGGGAATTACAGAGTTGGACACCACCACAGCATCAGGGTTTTCTGAAGGTTCTGGGGATTTCAAACGTTTTTACCCACTGGACCATCTCCAAAGCTCCTAGTGACTTTTTAGAAATTCAGATTATGGGGAGGTAAAGCTAGCCTGGTGGGGGAGCGCTACAGAGTACCCTGTGTGAATGTGCAGAGCCCTAGGTCCAATCCTCAGCACCAAAGCCCTGGGTGCTCCTCCCCAGCACCAAAGCCCTGGATCCTCCTCCTCAGACCCAAAGCCCTGGATGCTCCTTTCTCAGCACCAAAGCCCTGGATGCTCCTCCCCAGCACCAAAGCCCTGAGTGCTCCTCCCCCAGCACCAAAAACAATGAAGAGGGAAACAGAGAATCGCAAATCCTCCACTCACTGAGTCAGAAACACCAAGGCTGCCACATCAGTGTTTGCATCAAAAAGCCCTTGAGGTGCTCAGTGCTGCTTTGTGCATTTCTTTGTCTCATCCTGTAACCGCTGGCTGGTCTGGGATTCACTCTTGAGACAGTCTGTTCTAACTCATGACAATCCTCCTGCCTCAAGTTGTTGGTCTTACAGGTGTGAGCCACTGTGCAGAACAATATTTGGAATCCATATTTGCTGTACACTGTGAAGATGAGCTGCTCTCATTGTTAATAAGCTGATTGGCCAATGGCTGGGTGGGATTTTCGGGACAGAGAGAATGCTGGGGAGAAGGGCAGAGTCAGAAGAGATTTCATGAGAAGCAGAGGGAGCAGGACGGGAAGTATGTTCACAAGGTAAACAAGCCTCGAGAAGCACATAGAGTAATAGAAACGGGCTAATTTAGGTTATTGGTGCACGTCTTTAATCCCAGCACTCGGGAGGCAGAGGCAGGCAGATCTCTGTGAGTTCGAGACCAGCCTGGTCTACAAGAGCTAGTTCCAGGACAGGCTCCAAAGCTACAGAGAAACCCTGTCTCGAAAAACAAAAACAAAAACAAACAAACAAAAAAACCCAAGCCTATTGGCCGAGCATTTAGAATTAATATGAAATCTCTGTGTGGTTATTTGGGGAGTAGCTGGTGGGACAGAAAAGTCTGTCTACACATACTGATGGCACAGCCAGACAGCGGGGTCTAACCTTGGCTTTGCCACTTGCAGGCTGTGTTGAGGGCAGGTAAGAATACATTACTCCTGACTTAGGGGATCAGTTTTCCCAACTGTAAAATGGGAATTAAGGATGTTTTAGAAGATCACTGTAGATTATTGAGGACACACATGACAGCGATGAAATTATCCAACCAGTGTTAATTTATTTTAATATTTATTTTTGTTTTTTCCAGACAGGGTTTCTCTATGTAGCCCTGGCTGCCTTGGAACTCACTCTGTAGACCAGGCTGGTCTCAAATTCAAAGACTCACCTGTCTCTGCCTCCCGAGTGCTGGGATTAAAGGTGTGCACCACCACACCTGGCTGACCAGTGCTATTTTAATCAAAAGCTATTTTCATTGCCAAATATATGAAAAAAGATTGTTCAACTCTATGCAATTATTTAGTACCAACGCAATAAAGACTAGATCAAAAATAGACATAGAAGCCGGGCGATGGTGGCGCACGCCTTTAATCCCAGCACTCGGGAGGCAGAGGCAGACGGATCTCTGTGAGTTCAAGACCAGCCTGGTCTACAGAGCTAGTTCCAGGACAGGCTCTAAAGCCACAGAGAAACCCTGTCTCGAAAAACAAAACAAAACAAAACAAAAAAATAGACATAGAAGAATAAACAAACAAAGCTTGCATTACAAGATTTGGTGGTCCACACTTGAAGCCTCAGGGACTTGGCAGGTTGAGCCAGGAGAATTCCAACTTAAAGGCCTTTCTGGGCTACAGAGTGGGTTCAAGTCTAGCCTTGGCAACCAAGTGAGATCTTCTCCCAAAATAAAAAGTCAAAACACAGGGCTTGGGTTGTAAATTAACAGCAGAGACCTAGCATGTGCAAGGTCCTGGGTTCAAATCCTAGGGCCACAAAATACACAGACAGCATGCCTGTAACAAACAGCCCAGCAAAATGGTGCACACACACCTTTAATTTCAGCACGTGGGAAGAAGAAGCAAGCAGACCTCTGAGTTCAAGCCCAGCCTGGCCTATACTGTGAGTTCCAGGAAATATGGGGCTAGGGCTATACAGAAAGACCCTTTCTCAAAAACAAACAAACAAAATGAAACAAAACCACACTGACTTTAAGGCGACCCTCCCTTGAGAAGTCCACATCATGCCTTCGCTGTGTGCTTTTCTGTTCCAGCCCAAACTTGTCCTCTGCCCTGCCCCCTACATAGGCTACTGTCCTTCAGAAACTCGGTAACTTTGCTCGTTTTCTCAAAACCACCATTCTCTTGAGAGTTGAGACAAGAAAAAAGATGAGACAGAAAATACAGATAAGTGGGTAGTCACCTGTGATCAGAATGGAACTGGAGATGTTTGCTGACACCGCAAATAGGAATGTTCCACCAGCAGTGGGCGTATGGTTCAGATCCCCGCCCCCCCCACGCCGAGTCCCTGAGACACCGGCTCTTTCCTGTGTCTCCTTCAGTGGCTTTTCTGGGTTCTAGACCTCATGTTCATTCAAGCAGGAGAACAGCCAGGGTTCTGGAGCTTTCCTAGACTGAGGAGTCCATCTTCAGTTAAACTCTTAGGGGAGGGAGCCAGGTGCTGTGCAGGAAGAGTGGCGTCTGGACCGCTTGTTCTGAGACTCGCGCATCAGTAGGAGCTATTCTGGTTTTGTTGGTTTTTTTTGGGGGGGGGGGTTGTTTCAAGAAAGGGAGTTTTTTTTTCTGTGTAGCCCTGGCTGTCCTTGAATTCACTCTGTAGACCAGGCTGGCCTCACAGAGATCCGCTTGCCTCTGCCTCTCAAGTGCTGGAATTAAAGGTGTGCGCCACCACCGACCACAATCAATCAATCAATCATTTATTTATTTATTTATTTATTTATTTATTTATTTATTTATTTTTAAGTAATTCAAGAGAAGGTCCCATGTCTTTAATCCCAGGACTCTGGGTAGGCAGATTTCTCAGGGTTTGAGGTCTACAGAGTGAGTTCTAGGACAGCCAGAGCTATATACTGAATCCCTGTCTCTGAAACAAAACAAACAAGAAATCAGCTCAAGGTCTGTGGCGAATCTGCTGCAGCCAATAAAGAGTTCCTCTGGAGGATGGCGTAAGAAAGCCTCAGTCGCTGGTAAACGGACGTTGGGAACGGCCTCTGTCTCGGCGCGGAGAGAACCCAGGACTTGCTGAGGTGAGTGGAAGCTCGGAGGTAACAGGGTCAACGCGAGGAGGAGGAGAGTGGCCAGCAGGCCCGGCGAGGCGCCACGTCCGCGCGTGGCCGACGCCATGTTGAAGCCTGGCAGAGGCGGAGGCCGGGAGGTGAAGTGGGACTAAGGGTTGGGTGGGAAGTCTGGCCCCGGGGGAGCAGGAGGAGTCAGCCTCCAGGTCTCGTCTGGGCCCAGCCCGAATCTGGCGACCCAGGAACCAGCTTCCTATCGGCACTTCCGCCCTGGCTTCCTCAGCACCACTGCGCATGCCTAGAACGGGTCCTTCCTGGCGGCTGCTGGAGTATTCCAGGGGAAGTGCCCGAGACCTCCCCTCTCCGGTGAGATCTGCCCCCCCCCCCGTTTTTTGTTTTTATTTATTTATTTTTTTTTATTAGAGATGGAGAGTTCATGTATCGCGGGCTGGCCTCCATCTCAGTAGGTAATCAAGGATGGCTCTGAACCCCACATCAGTCTCTCCAGTCCTGGGATTACAGACCTGCGCCACCACTTTTGCCTAATCTCGGGAAAAAACAAAACAACAAAAAACTCGCCGTTAGGGCTGGAGAGATGGCTCAGTGGTTAAGAGCATTGCCTGCTCTTCCAAAGGTCCTGAGTTCAATTCCCGACAACCACATGGTGGCTCACGACCATCTGTAATAAGGTCTGGTGCCCTCTTCTGGCCTGCAGACATACACACGGACAGAATATTGTATACATAATAAATAAATAAATAGATAAATAAATAAGTAAATATTAAAAAAACTCGCCGTTAATTTCAACCTTTGAGAGGCAGGCAGTTTTCTTGATGTTCGAAGCCGAAGCCAGCCTGGCGTATAACGTGAGTTCAGGACACCAGGACTACACAGGGAGACCCTGTCTCAGCAAACAAAACAAAATAACCTTCGAAGCTCTATGTATGCTATACGTAATTATAAATAAGAGACACCACTCCAAAATGCAGTGAAGGGCGGGGGGCTTTGGCAGAGTGGTTGTGTAACGTGCGAGAAGCCCTGGGTTCCATCTCCAGCACCCATTAAACTTAATGTGCTGGCACATACATTGGGGAGAGGTAGTGCGGCAGGAGCATCAGAAGTCAAGGAAGGCCAAAGATAGCCTGCACTGTGTGAAACCTTGTCTCTCACACGCTTTAAATTCCAGGATAGTTTTGTTTGAGTTTAAAAGAAAAAAAAAAAAACAGGGCAGAAAGCTGAAATTACTGTCAGCTCTCTGAGGAAGAAGATGGAGAGAGGAAAGTGCTGAGCGGTGGTGAAGCTCGCCTTTAATCCCAGCACTCAGCAAGCAGAGGCAGGCGATCTTTGTGAGTTCGAGGTCAGCCTGGTCTACACAGTGAGTTCCAGAACAGGCTCCAAAGCTACAGAGAAACCCTGTCTCTTAAAAAAAGAAAGAGAGAAAGAGGGAGAGAGAGAATTCATGGCTCAGTACAAAGGAATCTACAGAGAACACCAGAGCGGGGAGAGATGGTCCTAACAGGGCCCAGGAAGCCTCTTTCCCACTAGTGGCCTGTCTGGCTGTGTGCTCTCCTCTTGCTGATAAGGACACCAGGGAGGCAGTTTTGTTGTTTGTGAGTGACAAGTTGGTATTATTCTTTTTATGACTTGTAGAAGATTGTAATGTTGGTATTTTTGCCTCTACTCCCTAAGTGTTGAGATGAGGTGTGTGCCACCACGCCCAATTTTTCATTGTTGTTTTGTTTTAAAACTTATTTTTACATGTATGGGTGTTTTGCCTGCATGTATGTTTGTGTACCATATGCGTGCCTGGTGTTCACAGAGGTCATAGGAGGGGTTCAGATCTGGAACTGGAATTACAGTTGTGAGCCACCCATGTGGGTGCTGGGAACCAAACCTGGGTCCTCTGCAAGAGCAGCCAACCCTCTCAACTGCCGAGCCACCTCTCCAGCCCCTAACTCTTTGCTTTTTGAGACCGGTAGCCCAGACTGGCCTCAGATTCATGGCAATCCTCCTGCCTCAGCCTCCTGAGTGCTGGAACTACGTGTGCGGGAAAGATGCTGTAGGAAGGAGTTGCCTTCAGTGTTTCTGACTCCCAGTTGTAAGCAGATTTCAGCATCGGGTCCGAGTGAGACTGAATTGTGTCAGGTAAGTGAGCCACAGCTGGGGCTAAGCACAGTTATTCTCAAGCCCAGAACGAATGGGTCATCCTCTCGGGAGCCGAGAAGGAAGCCCTAGTCCTAAGCCCACTGCCCTCATAATGGGTAGTGAAGTTGGTGGCATGTGCCTGTAATCCCAGCACTCAGAAGGGCGAGACAAGACGATCAGGGGCTCGGGGTCAGCTTGGGGCTATAACGGAGGCCCTATTTAGAGTGTGGGGGCGGGTGAATGGCACTGCTTCCCACAGCTGTGGTGAGCGTGGAGACGCACAGGTGCTTCACACCGCTTGCTGTTCCTGTTCTAGAACATGAGTGACTGGGTGCCCATAGCCAAGGAATATGACCCGCTTAAAGCTGGCAGCATCGACGGCACAGATGAAGACCCACATGACCGGGCTGTGTGGAGGGCCATGCTGGCCCGCTACGTACCCAACAAAGGCGTTACTGGAGACCCCCTTCTTACCCTGTTTGTGGCACGACTCAACCTGCAGACCAAAGAGGAAAAGTTAAAGGAAGTCTTCTCCCGCTACGGTGACATCCGGCGGCTGCGGCTGGTTCGGGATCTAGTGACCGGCTTTTCCAAGGGCTACGCCTTCATCGAGTACAAGGAGGAGCGGGCCCTGCTGAAGGCCTACCGGGATGCCGATGGCTTGGTCATTGACCAGCACGAGATATTCGTGGACTATGAGCTAGAGCGCACCCTCCGTGGTTGGATCCCTCGGCGACTGGGTGGAGGGCTGGGTGGGAAAAAGGAATCTGGGCAGCTGAGGTTCGGGGGCCGGGATCGGCCTTTCCGAAAGCCCATCAACTTGCCCGCTGTCAAGAATGAGCCGTATAGAGAAGGGAAAAGAGAAAGGAGAGAGCGATCTCGATCCCGGGACAGACACTGGGACCCCAGGCCCCGGGAGCGGGACCATGACAGGGGCCGAGAGAAACGCTGGCAAGAGAGGGAAATGGCCAGGGTGTGGCCTGAGAATGATTGGGAAAGAGAGAGGGAGTTCAGGGAGGACAGGGCTAAAGGCAGGGACAAGAGGGACAGAAGTAAGTAAAGCCAATGGCAGGCCACGGAAGCCTACCCAGAGGCCCGGGCCACCATCAGACTGGGGCAGCTCCCTTTCCAGCCCTGAACCCAGGCTCACGCAGACCTAAGAGAGGCTGTGCTTCTGCAGTATTGAGGCTTGAACTGGAGAGCTTGAGTGTGCCAGGCAGGTGCCGCACTGCGGGGCACAGATGGGAGGGAAACCGCCTGAGAAATCACCTGTCTGGTGCTTGAACATGCTTGTCAGCCCAGCTTCCGGAAACGGAGGCCAGAGTAAAGGTGGTAACAAAGAATCTGTCTTCTTCTTCTCACAGCCTTTGAGGTGGGGTTCAATGTGGCAGAGGGGATAGTGGTTTACAGCCCTTAAATAGCCTGGCGTGGTGGCACACACCCTCATCCTAGCACTGGTGAGGCTGAGGCAGGAGGATTGTAAGTTTGAAGCCAACCTAAGTTACAAGATAAGACCTCCACCTCCATAACCTACAAGAATTAGATGTAACCCTGACAATGACCCCTGGGAGGCAGGGTCTTCCCATCTTCATGTTCAAAGGTTGCTGAATTGAAATAAAAACAGACTAGAAAAGCCAATTTCAAGAATTGTCCAGCAGGCTGAGCATCTGGGTTGGCAGACAGCTGCTCTCAAATCAGCACAACCCCTTCCCTACTAAAATGCTAACTGCCTGCTTTCGCCTGGGGCATTTACAAGGAAAGGCAGCCTAGCAGGGCTGTGATCTGTGGCCGACTTTCAGCCACTGGAAAGAAACCTCAACAGCAGTGAGGTGAAAGAATGGGAGGACATGGTCCTAGACAGCCTGGAGCTGGGCTGAAGGGTCAGCGGTCCCTTTTTCTGACTATCTGCATTCCGGTTTGCTGGGCAGCAGGGGTTCTGTGAACTTGAAGTGAATTAAAGACTGTTCTCAAGACTTAAAGAAAAACGACAGTCAGCTGGGTGTGGTGGGTGCTCCCGGCACTTGGGAGGCAGGTGCAGGCGGTCTGAACTATTTGGAATTTCACATGGTTTCAGTCAGTAATCAAATTCACTGGGGAGCTAGTGGAATGGCTCAGAGCACAGGAGAACGTGCTCCGTGGACTGGAGAGGAAGCGCAGCACTTAAGAGCACTGCAGTTCTCGCAGGTGGCGGGGTCACACAGCAGCCGATCAATGTCTGTAATCGCAGTTCCGGGGGATCTGATACCCTCTTCTGGCCTCAGTCACTAGCACATGTGCCACACATGTATACATGGAGGCGTTCATATAAACACATACAATAAAGCCAAATCTTTAAAAAGGTCACACAGTCTAACTGAATTCCCAGAACCCATGGTTGACAGAATCAACCCGAGAGCTGTCATGTGACCTCCACATGAGGACTATGGCACACACGTCATGCATACAGTAATAAAGGTTGCTGGGTGGTGGAGACGCACACTTTTAATCCTAGCATTCGGGAGGCAGAGGCAGGTGGATCTCTGCAAGTTCAAGGCCAGCCAGGTCTACAGAGTAAGTTCCAGGACAGCTTCCAAAGCTACACAGAGAAACTGTCTCAAAAAAATCAATAATAATAATAATAACTGCTGCCAGAACCTCACATGGTGGCACACACCTGTCAACCCAGCACTTGGGAGACACAGGATTAAGAGTCTGAGGCCAGCTAGGGCTATATAACAAGATCTTAGCTCAAAAAAAAAAAAAAATTTGATACCGAATTTTCTACCTCCTTACTGTCAGAAAGTGGCTGGAATTTCTGAAGTCACTTACACTGAAGCCACAGTGACTATAAGCTTGCACCTCCATGCTCAGCTTCACCCAGTTTCTTAGCAAAAATAGTACAATGCACAGGGCACGGTCCCTTCCATCCTATGATCTTATTCTCTGGAGCCTGGAACCCACGTGCTCTGCACCAGCAGAAAGTACGGGGGCCAGCCTCCAGTGGCCATGGCAACTGTGGGCCAGCTAGGAGTGTGCACCCCCTGCACCCCACACCTTTTACCCATCCGCCACATCATATAACCCAGGCTCGTGAGCCTGGCACCCAATCCGCTGTAAGGCACTGTCTTCTTTGCACAGACCCAGAATTTCACACAAGGAACATGAAAAGAAAAAATGACAGGAAAAACACACAGGAAACACGTCTCATCCTAAACAACTCTGTTTGGTTAGTACTACTGTAGTGCTCACAGCAGATTCCAAGGCACGCCACCTCGGACAGGCTGCTTGGGCCTCTAACCTTACCAGGCGCGGGGAGTGACTATCCCGAGGCTCTTCCCAGCCCGTGGCCCGTGGCTGGGGGGACTGTGATGATTTGCTCTTGCGTCCCATCCAAGTTGGGTGGCTCATCCTGTGACTAGAGGCTCCACCTGTCCAGTCCATACAACCTGCTACCTCCAGGGCCACTTCATAACATAAAACGCCCCTTCCACTGCCTCTCACTAACATGACAAAGGCCCTAAGAAAACAAAACAAAAAAACTAAACCTAGCAGTCAAATAGCCATGATAGTGGTATGTGATGTGTTCAGCTTAGGAAGCTCATTACTAAAGTTAATGAGGTCTGGCTTCAGATCCTTGTCTTATTAAATATAGGTCCTAAGGGGTCAGAGGCATTGAGTATAAATCGGATAGCCCTGCAGATGAATAAACACTTGTTTAGGTTTTGGCATCAGTTCTTCCTCATCCATCCTCAAAGCAGACAGTTCGTTTGAGAGGTCGATGTGGAGGCAGCCACCCGGAGCAGGCGGCAGGCGGTCCAGGAGGGGGCACAGTCACAGGTGCTGCAGGGCTTCCTGTCCTTGCTCTGTGTACCCGTCATCTCGGTGAGTGTGTGCCCACTGGCCAAAGGACTCATGGATGTGCGTGGGTCTCTGCGTGTTGGCCAGGCGCTTCTTGTCCCGGGAGAAAAAGCTAAACCTTTTGGAAGGGGAAAAGAAACAGAGACGGAAGTGAGTGCTTGCCCTTTCCTGCTCCACCTGCCCGCTTCCTTCAGCCCTGGGACACACAGGAACAAGCACCCGAGGGAGCAGATCCATTCCCCGTGGGGGATGCAGTCAGCAGGATTCTAGAAAGCACTGGGGCTTCCGGGTGTCATGGGTCTCAGAACCTTAGCACTCACACAGAATGAGCAGTTTGCAGTATGTGATGGGGGTGGGGGTGGGCAGGACCTTCCACCTGGCCGCTACTAGGGGGATCTTTCCTATATCGACTAGAAACAAACACAAAACCAAATCAGCACAACTCAGGTCTTCACAAAGGCCAGGTGCAAGGCTCTATGGCTCAGCTAAACGCTCAGCTCAGAAATTTGTTTTTTTTTTTTTTTCTTCTCATTTTTATAGATAGCATCTTAGGGTAGCTCAAGCTGGTTTCCAAACTCAAGACATAGCGGAGGGTGACCTTGAACTTCTGATCTTTCTGTCTCTCCTTCCCAAGTGCTGGAATTACAGGCATGAGTCACCATGCCCAGTTTACAGAAGGCAGGAGATCAAACCCTGGGGCTTGTGCATGCTAGGCAAGCACTCTACTTACTGAACCCCTGCCCCAGCCTAGAGATCTCTTGAATGAATCAAATGATGCTTTGGAAGAAGCTGAAAGTTGTGAGGAAGATGATTCTAAGGCTAACCCATTCTTAATATTCATTCATTCATTCATTCACGCTTTCGTTCATTCATGTGCATGTATGAGTATGTGAGCACTCAAGTGACGTGGCTCCTGTATGGCCGGCAGAGGACAGACAGTGGGTATCAGTTCTCTTCTTCACTGTGTGTGGGGGTGGGGGGTGGTCCCAGAGTTGAATTCAGGTTCTTACTCAGTCTTGGGGGCAGGGGCCTCAGTTCACATCTGGCAGCCCTCATAGTCCATGCTAGGTAAGTATTCTACCACTGAACCATAACTCCAGTGAGCGTGTGAGTAATTGTGTGTGTGTATGTGTGTGTGTAGGAATCAGTTCTCTCCATCCACTCCATCTTAGGTCCCAGGCAGTGAACCTAGGTCCGCAGGTTTAGCTGCACACATAGCTGCATACGTGTTTACTCCAGCCCACTGATATTCATCTTACAAGACTGCCAAATCACCCAGGCTGGCATTTAGTTTGTGATCCTCCTGATTTAACCCCAAGTGGTCATGCTTGGCAGGAAGCACTTTGGCCTGCTGAGCCATCCTGCAGGCCCCCTAAACTCTGTTAGAGACAGGGTCTCTTATTCACTTCTGCTACGGCCATCGCCTCTCTCCTGTCCCTCAGTGAGAGAGCGGGGACTGTAGAAGCATGCTCTGGGATCTGACTTAACATGGGGCCTGGAGACTGGAACTCGGGTCCTCACATTCCTCACACTGGCCGACTCCCCAGTCCCGGGGTTTTGTTACAGTCACATCTAGTGAAGAGGATGTTCCTGGGAACTGGGGCTATACTCCCTTTCTAGCAGGAATAGAATGCTCTTTCATCCTCAGGCCAAGTTCACCTGGGAAATTCTCTAGGGCTTTAAAGGGCACGTGTGAGCCGGCAAGTCGAGGTGGGGGTTCACGCTGGACAGGGGAGGGCTCGTGGAGTTAGCTAGTCCACCACTGCAGCGTCTCAGCCTGACTTAGGAAAGCCACCTGCAGATGCCAGCTCCCCCCTCCCCCCACTTTTCTGCACCAAACAGCTGCCAAGACAAAGCTGTTTAGAAAGCCTCAGGCACGGAGACAGAGGAAGCAGTTAGTGTCACTCGGATCCCGGGGGCGTTGATTACTGACCCGTCACTTAAAGGACCTTCTTTACTGCATCATGGACAAGGTGGTTTTTAGAGCGAAAACAGAAGAGACAAAAAGAATTATCGGTGACATTCCCGGCTGCACTCGTGGAGGTCAAGAGCGACAGTGGCAATCACGCCCCATACCCACTCGAGATGCCAACAAGCAGGTGACGGCCATGCAGCTGAAGTGGCCAGGAGGGACAGGCTGGCGGCAGCCACCACAGCCATTCTAGAGGCACAGCAGAAAAGAAAAACAAAAACGAAACCCCAAACACAGACAGTGCCTACGAGGGACACGAGTCTTCGCACAGGCTGCAACGTGGGGTCGTCAAGGATCAGTCCAGCTGCCACCATGGGCATGACGGCTGTAAAGAGCCTTCCAGAAGAAGCAGACAGACCGAGGAGATAAAGAGAGGGCAGTGTGACCAAGAAACCCACCCCGCAAGATCCACTGAGAGCTGCAACGACGGTCTGTGTTATAGGCCAAGACACGCCCCCCCCCCCATGTTCCTCAGCGTGACCCAAGAAGACACAGGGCCCAGTGGAGGAGAGGGTCCTCTCTCAATAGGACCAACGATCTTGTATACGTGGAGAAGTAGACACAGACTCGTGTACAGAGGCTGTCTGGGTGATGGTCCTATAGCCTAAGGAAGCCCAAGGGTCACTAACCCCAAGAGGACAACTGAGAGTCTCTCTCAGGGAACCAATCTTGCTGGAAAGCACCTTTTCTTACTATTAGTATTAAATATACTGGGGGAGAAATCCAGGGCCTGTGGATTCTGGCTAAACACTCCAACACTGAGATACTGAGCTATGTTGTTCTCGGCTCTTTCTTGTCCTCATAGGTGGGGACAACCCAGAGCCTCATGTATCTCAGGCTGGCTTCAGTCTCACTACATAGTTAAGGATGACTTTGAACTTGTGATATCTGGGCTTCCACCTCCAAGGGCTAGGGTTATACGTCCATGCACTGAAACTGAGCCCAAGGTTTCATGCACACTAGGCAAGTACTCTCCCAACTGAGCTACAGCCTCAGTCTTTTATAAAATTATTATTAATTATTATTTTAGCTTTTCAAGACAAGAGTTTCCCTGTGTAGCCCTGGAACTCACTCTCTAGACCAGGCTGGCCTGGAACTCAGAGATCCGCCTGGCTTCAGAGTGCTGGGATTAAAGGCATGTGCCACCATAGCCCACAGAGATAGTCTTTATCCTAAACCGGCCTCAGACTTCCTGCACAGCTGAGGCTAGCTGGAACTCTTGATCCTTGTGCCTCACACCTCCCTTGGGGCTCAACTTACAGGCATTACCATGACCACCACACTGGATCTCATGAGGTGCTGGTGACAGGACCCAGAACATTACACAAACATTCAGTGGACACTCTCATGGTCTCCAGTGGAGCCTCTGAAGTCCCTCGCTGTGTTTCCACCATCTCAGTGTCGTCACAGAGGAGTGGCAGCCGCAGTCCACCAGAACCCACTCATCTGACACTGAGATGGGCGGGCACCCTTTTCCTGCTAGCTGCTGGGCACAGAAGGCTTTGGGGGCTCCAAACCTCCACACTACTTTGCA